CCCCAAAACCCCAAAACCCCAAAACCCCAAAACCCCTTATTTTGCAAAAAATATTGAGCAGATTTATTCAGAACCATGGAAGTATCGAAGGTTAATGAGCTATCTGTGATTGAAGGTAAGGCATTACTGAACCAAATTAAGCATGGAATAATTTCATATCGGCTCTAATACTAATCCCTACAGAAAAGAAATACAGAACTGAACAAATTCAAAAAGGAGGTAGACTACAGTGTTCTTATTCTTAATAGACAACAAAGGTTCTGGTCACAAAACTAGCAGTAAAAAGCTTTCGGAGGAATCATTAGAGGATTATAAAGGTGGATCTGGGTAAGTACTTCATACACTGCAGTTTTCAATATATTTTCTAGAACCAAACACCTTAGAAACCAAATGAACTCGAACAAAAAGGCTATTAAAAGTGTAGGGATGAAGTCAAAGAGAAACAAGAAATCAAAAACTGACTATTTTTCATCCTTCGTTACTACTAATAAGTCTTATCTTGAGCCAAAATCAATGTAAGATCTCATGTTTTGAATCCGTTCTAGGTTTTACTCAACTGCGAGTCGGTTTAGAGAAGATAAGATCAGCAAGATATGTGAATCAACGTAGGATATCTCACAATTTTTCTAGAACAGAACCATTCAGAAGAACTCAGACAAGGATTAATGGAAGACTCAAAGATTATACTCCTAGTCAGAATGAAGAGGGTACTCAAGGCAACTGGGAAGACTCAATTGATAAGACATTTGAGAACATCACTCTTCTGGTTAGGCAAAAGAAGGATGCAAAGGAACAAAACATTTACGTATGCTGTAATGATAATCATTCTAGTTAAGGTATCAATTGACTGAAGCTTTGGATGAGCTAGATGAAGAGAGTACGTTCCTATTTAATCCTTAGCCAGGATACAAAATCAGCTAGAGCTGGAGATAGAAGAGGAGAGAAAGAAAACACCCTATATTCATTCAGCTAATAAAGAAGTTAAAACTGAGCTAGACAAGTAATTCTTTCCTTTAGCTTTATCTAGGATAAAGAAAAGTTCAGGCCTTGAGGCCAATACTGTTGTCAAAGAAGGAGACAAACTTGGCTGTAGGCTTCTTAGTTGTAAAATTCCTTAGATGAACTCAAGAAATGGAGATATAAGGTTAGCAAACTTCAAAGAGAAGTCGAAAATTCAAAAACTGAGTATGAAGTTACTCTAAACCATCAAAGACATGAACAAATTCAAGAACTTCAGGTGCAAATTACTAAAGCGGAGGAGGAGCTGATGAGGCTTGAGCATGAATGTAGAAATTCAGCTTTTAAGATTGAAAAGCAGGCCAAGAGATTAAAAGAGAAACAGAAGATGATAGATGAAATGTTCGAAAACCAAGATAAAACAACGTACGAAATATCTTCTCTAAAATCTCTAGGACCCCATATGGAAACATTGCAATAAAGCAAAATACAAGAGATCCTGAGCTCGAATATTTCAGTGAGAAGCTTAAAAGAATAGTTAACAATGAAAGAATGCTCTAAGATATATCCCAAACCGAAGAGAGCTATATTCTTTATAAAAATATCAATAACTTACAGCTTGTCATACATCTAATGTGGGCAAAAATTGGTAGTTAACTTATCGGGGTAATTCATGAAGTTCCTAGTCTTTCACCTTGAACAAACATATTAAATTCTACCATAATTTGTTTTTCACTTTGTCCGAAATAAATCAGAAAGTTGAATCCAAAAAATCCTATAATAAAAGAAGTTCCTCTGTATCTATCTCGTGTGATTTTCTAGTAGTCCAGACCACAAATTTCTTCAAATTGTTTAGAATTCTGGCTTTAGCACTTTAGGTTGTACAATATCTATAAGTTCTTAAATTGGAAGAATAAACTCAATATGGGATATTATGAATGCACTCCAAGCCAGTCCAGTGTTATTCAGAGGTAAGTCTGAAGCAGTACCCTTTGAACTCTTTACTCTTAGGATACCCTTAGAGAATTTTTCACTTTAGACATTCTTAGAATGCAAGTTTAGAAGAGTACAACAATTATTCCCAGTTTAATTGATCATAAGCATGGCCTATCTAAGAACTGTCTGACCTTCAGTGTATCCAAATTTTATGAGGAAACAATGACTGCCAGCTTTGAGATTAACCGAGTTCAATTAGGAAATCTACCAAATAAAAGACAGGAGAATCTCTGCTTTTTAATAGATCATAAGAAAATCAAAGAGAAGAATCAGAGCATTGCTAATGCTTCAGAATTACCTCTTGTCAAGACTTCAAGAATGCTGAGAACTCCAAATTCATTAGAATATATGAAGAGATATAACCTGATTGGCTATGTTTCAAATAAAAAAACTAAAATGAGATAAGAAAACCAATTATATCTCCAACACTTAAATGCTCTAAGAAGTTCTCTTGTAGGCTCTTCAGGAAGCCAAGAGAGACAAATTGAAAGCATTTACAGCTATGAAGATGAGCACTTATCCTCCATGTACATATATTGTTGTTCTCCAAACAGACCACACTTTTAATAAGCTCTATTTACTAGAAATCCTTTTAAAATTCAATCCTCAAATAGCACATTAAATTTATTATCAAAGCCTAGATAGCCTAACTTAGAATCTTTCTCAATTCTTCTAAACAATGGCCTTATTAACCTTCATTATAGATTTATTTTCTTCGCTCAATGATTTTGAAAACTATAAGTCCCAGAACAATTTGGTGAAAATGTGCAAACAGAAAACCACACCACTGAAAATAGGACTCATCATAAAAATATCCAGTCTAAACCTCAGAGTTATTCCAAAACTAGCACAAAGGCGTACAGATATTGCTATAATGAAATAAAAGACCGAAACCACTACCTCCAAGGAAGTCCTAGCATCCACAAGAGCTCAGGAATCTCTCAAAATCTCGGAAATAAGAAATTTGAAAAGGTGATACCTGAACATCAGTACTAAGTTAGAAACAAACTCAATATTAGAACTAACAGGAAGGACAGAGTACTCATCTGAAAGTTCAACGGCTGCAACAGAGAGTTCACAAAGATTTTGGGACTCAAGGAGCATTATAGGGTCCATACTGGAGAGTAGCCTTTCCAGTGCCAAAGATGAGGGACAAGATTTAGCCAGAGAAGATCCTTACTGAAGCATATCTCTAAATATGGAGATTCTTGTTAATATCTAATATTTTATATAACCTATTTCAATAGAAATGTTTATATTAGGGGTTTTGGGGTTTTGGGGTTTTGGGG